TAATAACTATCGGCCTGTCTCCAACCTTCACTTTATAGCGAAGGTTGTTGAGTCTGTGGTGGCGCAACAGCTCCCACAGTTCCTGGAGGAAACGGATTTCCTAGACCCGTACCAATCGGGGTTCTGGCGTGGGCACAGCACGGAAACGGCATTGGTCGCTCTGGTGAATGATCTCTGGCGGGCCCGGGATGGAGGCTGTTCCTCCATCCTGGTCCTACTTGACCTCTCAGCGGCTTTTGATACCATTGACCATGGTATCTTACTGCAGCCACTTGGGGGGTTGGGGGTAGTAGGCACTGTTTTACAGTGGTTCTCCTTCTACCTCTCAGGTCACTCGCAGTTTGTATGGATGGGGGGGCAGAGGTCCACCCCGAGGCCCCTAACTTGTGGGGTGCCTCAGGGGTCGGTTCTCTCCCCACTACTTTTTAATATCTATATGAAGCTGCTGGGTGAGATCATTCGTGGTTTCGGAGTGAGGTATCATCAATATGCTGATGATACTCAGCTATACATTTCCACCCCGGACCACCCCAGGGATGTCCTTTCTGTGATGTCCCGATGCCTGGAGGCGGTACGGGCCTGGATGGGTAGAAACAGGCTCAGACTCAACCCCTCCAAGACTGAGTGGCTGTGGATGCCGGCACCTCATGTTCTAGAGGTCCCATCACTTTTGATGGGAGGGGAGGTACTTGCTCCCATTGAAAGGGCCCACAACTTGGGTGTCCTCCTGGATTCCTGGCTGTCTCTGGAAGACCATTTGACGGCCATGACCAGGGGGGCTTTCGCGCAGGTTCGCCTGGTGCGCCAGTTGCGCCCTTTCCTAGACTGAGATGCCCTTCGCACAGTCACTCATGCCCTGGTTACTTTCGCTTGGATTATTGCAACTCCCTCTACATGGGGCTGTCCTTGAGGTGCACCCGGAGGCTCCAGCTGCTCCAGAATGAGGCTGCGCAGGTTGTTACGGGAGCTCCCCATTACTCCCATGTAATACCTCTCCTACGCGAGCTGCACTGGTTACCAGTGGTCCTCCGAATCCGCTTCAAGGTGCTGGTACTTACCTTTAAAGCCCTACATGGCTTAGGACCTGGGTACTTACGAGACCGCCTTCTGCCACCGGGAGCCTCTCACCGGCCAGTACGCTCCCACAGAGAGGGGCTCCTCAGGGTGCCGTCGGCCAAACAGTGTCAACTGGTGGCCCCCAGGGGGAGAGCCTTCTCTGTGGGGGCACCTGCCCTTTGGAATGAGCTCCCCCCGAGATACGGAGGATCCTGGATTTACGTACTTTCCGCCATGCCCTCAAGACTTTTTCATTCCAACAAGCGGGGCTGGCCTAACTCTTTTTAATTGTTTAATTTTAATTTTAATTTGTTTTTTTAAAAACAGGGGTGTTTTAATTAGTATGGGCCAAATTTATTTAATATGTTTTTAAATTGTTTTTTAAATTTTAAAACTGTGTTTTAAAACTGTGTTTTAAAAATTGTGTTTTAAATTTTAAATTTTATATTGTATCTGTTTTATCTTTGGCTGTTCACCGCCCTGAGTCCTTTGGGAGTAGAGCGGTATATAAATCTAAATAAATTCAAACTCAAACTCAAACCATCTCCTATCCGTCCTGTCCGCTCACACAGGGCTGCCCTCCTCAGGGTACCATCGACCAGACAATGTCCGCTGGTGACATCCAGGGGTAGAGCGTTCTCTGTGGGCGCTCCTGCCCTCTGGAATGAGTTACCCACCGAGCTTTGGATGGCGCCTGATCTCCGCTCCTTCCGTCGAGGCCTAAAGACTTGGCTGTTTCAACAAATGGGGTGATTCTGATTCTTGGGTTTTATTATTTATTTGTCCCTGTTTTAATTGGTTTTAATTAGGATTTTCCTTTATTATTGTAATGAGTCCTTTGGGAGAAGGGTGGCATATAAATATTTGTAAATAAAATAAATAAGTAAAATAAATAGTCAAGGAATTTGAATGGATGCTTGGATATTATCAAAACAGAATTATAATTGAATTCAAATCATCCTTGGTTCATAATCCAAACAGATAGATTTAATATTATGAGAGTAAACCTCTACCCATTCAATTGGATTTCTTTTTTCTTTATTATCACATGTAGTATAGTTCATAGAATCATAGGGTTGGAAGGGACATTTGTGCTCTTCTAGTCCAAGCCTGCCTACTGCAGGAATGCTCATCCCCTTCTAGACAAGCCCAGTCTTTTCTTGAAACCCTCCAGTAATAAACCACCCACAACTTCAGGAGGCAAGCTACCATTATTTAATAATTCTGATGGTCAGGAAATTCAGGTATTACAGATCTCTCACTGTGAAATCATTGTGGTCTCTAAGCTTGGCTGTTTTCTTGCAGACGTTTCATTACCCAACTTTGATAATGAATGTGGGGTTAGTCTCCTGTTTATATACAGATACTTGCCCTGAAGTATTGGGAGAGTAGAGTTTCTACTTAATAGGTCTTTGATATGGTATTGTTTTCTGTTTGATTGTTTGTCTAGTGTCAGTCCCTGCAAAACACAATCCCGATGTTGCAGACTATGTGGTCTATTCTTTCTGTTTGCCCATATTCACTGGCAGTGATGATGTTACTTAGTTGGGTAATGAAACTTCTGCAAGAAAACTACCAAGCTTAGAGAGCACCAAGAATGCCTCATTTCAATCCTGACCTAGAAACATTATCTTCTACACATCTCACTGTAAAGCTTCTCCACATAACATATGCTCAGTTTCTTCCATAGGGTCCTAATCATTCCCCACCCACATCCCCCACCTTGGTAAAAAAAAAATTGGAGGCCTACAAGGAAGATTGAAGCTACTCTGCAGCTGTGTCAGTTCCGCTGAGCTCTTGCCAACAATTGATGTGACAACCCAGAGAGATGGACGTTTTTGTCTATTAAGGTTTTTTTTTTGCCCAGCTCAGTGGTTAAAACAAACACTCCATTATCATCGTTAATTTCTTGCTTCATGTGAAACTCTTCAGCTACTTGACTTTGCCTGATCACAAAAACACACTTCTTTGTCTATAGGAGATTGAATAATACTTTCTATTGTTGGCAGATCGATCAGTCCTCTCTTAAACTAGAAACTACAGCTGAGCCAAGCATGTTATCCTGTCCTGTTTTCTTTGAATATATCAGAGATAGGGGAAAAAAAGAAGAATAAATTCCTTCCAATCACAGGATGGGAACAAGCAAGCAAGATTCCCATTGTTGTTTGGAGGTAGCAGTCGTTCCTTCTCTTCTAAAAGATGCTTTCTTTCTTTTTTAAAAAATAAAAAAATAAAATTAGATTTTTTTAAAAAAAATAAAAATGAACAAAAACTAATAATTAAAATAGAAAAAAAAAACAGAATGAAAATGAAAGCAAAGCAGAAAGAAAAGGAGAAGAAATAAGTATTAGATATGTTTACATTACTTGTAAAGTAATAAAGGTAGGATAAAAATCTAGTAAATAAAATAAATAATAAATTAATAAAAGAAAGAAAAAGAAATATAAAAATGACTTCCAACTTTCTTTTGCAACAGATATCAGAATGAATTCATATTAAGCTCTTATTCTATGTTTACAACACAACTTTTATTTTTTCTATTACCTATTATCGGTATTTTTTCTAATTATCAAATAAAATCCATGTATCATAATTTCATTTTTTCTGTTACACACACGCACACAATCCAGAAGGGGCTTCCGATCATGATTAAAATTCATTGATGTCTTTTCTTGAATCGAAGAGGTCCATTGCACATCCAGCCAGCTCCAAGAATTTAAACTGTAGAATAACTATGATTTCCTACTCAAACTGTGATATATTATAATACAGCATCATTACAGGGCTATTGTGAAGAACAAAGCAACTAAACAAGCACAAAGAAATTGTGCTCCCTCCATAAGAATCCCACTGAAATCCTCTTTTCCTTTGAGGAAAACACTGAACCCACATTTTTATCAAATCAAATGAGAAATGCTAGGGGAAAAGATTCATAATATTGAGCTCCAGTTTTAAGAAAGTACTATTCAAAGTTTGAAGCGCATAACCCAGGGATGTCAAACTCAATTTCATTGAGGGCCACATCAGGGCTGTGGTTGACTGGGGGGGCGACTGGACAGGCGTGGCCAACTAGGTGGGCATGGCCAACTTGATGCCACTCTCCAAACTGCTGGCATGTTTCCTTTTTGCATTGGGTAGACTGGGCCGAAGATACGTTGGCCAGATATTTTTTTCTTCACATTGGGTAGACCAGGACAGCCCCGCAAGCCAGATCTGACCACATCACGGGCTGCATCTGGCCCCGGGCCTTGAGTTTGACACCCCTGGCATAACCAGTTTGTGAACTGAAGAAGCTTCTTGGATGAGAAGCAAAATGTTTTTAAGGAAAAACAAAGTCCAGTTGCCTTTTGAAAAAGCACCTTTGGGACAACCAGTTGTGTCTAATGGTTAAAGCAGCAGACTAGAAGCCGGGAGAATGTGAGTTCTAGTCCTGCCTTAGCCATGACAGTCAACTGGGTGACCTTGAGCCAGTCCCATTCTCTCAGCCCAGCCCATCTCACATTTTGTTGCTGTGGGGAACATAGGAGGAGGAAGTTAGACACGTTGACCGCCTTGAGTTATTCGTAAAAATAATAAAGGCAGGATGCAAATAAATAAATAATTTAAAATATCATTTCTTCTGGAATGCAGATGACACAATTAATGGCAACAAATTGCAGTAGGAGCTACTGCTACCGTCTTAGTCACTTACTTCTAGCCTGCTTCCTTGTCCAACCCTAATCTAATGAGTTAGAGTTTGGATAGGCATCATAAGCAAGATAAGCCAGGATGGGGACAGAAGGCAGCAGAAATAAGCAAAGACCAGGTTATTTCATGGACTCTTCCATAACATTGGAATTGATCAGTCTCCAATCAAAGAGCGATATGCTTCTCAATTAAGTTAATTTCTCCCCTAGATCCATGAGGAGCTCATGTTTATTTGTTGGAAGAGAACAATCACTCACCATCCTGAAGGTTACCTGAATCAGCTGGGGATTTGCTCCGGCGCAATGGGGCTGGGCTTTTTGCTGAGCTCTTCTGTGGGGTTGGAGATGACTTGCTGCCTGGGGTGGTAGGTGGGTTTGCTTTCATTACTCGACACTCTGTAAATGAAACAAAAACAGAACACACTCATGAGATCCTGGTAAATGTGATGCTTTTTAGAAGCTGCACACCTATATCCTTGATGTCCTTTAGATGAATGGAATTCAGGTTCCCAAATTATCTGCAATGTTCGTGCTGCCTTGTATAAACTCTGGAACTCCACCCAGATGGAGGACATCCAGGTTTGGAGAATTCTGATTTGAACCAACTTTTCAACTTGGTTCCTCCCACATGTACATGATAAGGCAGTATCTCATTAGACAATGTCTTGTAATCTCTCCACTCCTTTTCTGATCTGCACAAGGGAACCTTCAAAAAGTTTGAAAAGTCTTTGCAAAACTTCATGATATCAAATTAGTTTGATGAAACTTCACTGAATGAACAGATCAGTCTGGTATTGAAACTGCTTTGAATGGCTTCCCTAATGGGAACCAATCAGAAACTCAGTTTAGTATGACTAATGAAAAGCAACACTTGATCTAAATATTGGACATGGATGCCTGGCAGAATAATTTCACTTTGTGCTAAATATACCTATTCCTGATGATGTAAGTCTCCTAAATTATCCATCTTGGCTTCAAATAAGGCATTGTACTAAGTTTCTACTCATACTAGAATGTCTCCTCAAAATCTAGCTTTAGGGTCCTTAAGTATGGGAAGATACTTTATATGCTCTCCAAGGATCACCAATCTAATTAAGAATTATCAATTTTAGCTACAATCTAATCGGATGGATGGATGGATGGAAGGATGGAAGGCTGTCTGGCTGTGAGGAAGGAAGGAATAGATAGGTAGATAGGTAGATAGGTAGATAGGTAGATAGGTAGATAGGGTAGATAGGTAGATAGGTAGATGATAGATAGATAGATAGATAGATAGATAGATAGATAGATAGATAGATGTTGTTAGTTACGAAGTCATGTCCGACCCATTGCGACCCAATGGACAGTGTTCCTCCAGGCCTTCCTGTCCTCTACCATCCTCTGGAGTCCATTTAAGCTCACGCCTACTGCTTCAGTGACTCCATCCAGCCACCTCGTTTTCTGTCGTCCCCTTCTTCTTTTGCCCTCAATCTTTCCCAGCATTAGGCTCTTCTCCAGTGAGTCCTTCCTTTTCATTAGGTGGCCAAAGTATTTGAGTTTCATCTTCAGAATCTGGCCTTCTAAAGAGCAGTCAGGGTTGATCTCCTCTAGGACTGACCAGTTTGATCACCTTGCAGTCCAAGGGATTCGCAGGAGTCTTCTCCAGCACCATAGTTCAAAGGTCTCAATTCTTTGGTGCTCAGCCTTTCTTATGATAGATAGATAGATTGATAGATAGATAGATAGATAGATAGATAGATAGATAGATAGATAGATAGACGCAATCTGTGGAGGAACTTCAATTCCTATGTAGCATAGAAACTGATATAGAAAGATGTCACGTTCACTCTCCCAAACTCTCCAAAGCACCTTTTTGGAATAAGATCCAAAACATTTGGAAGATAATATAAAAAGAGGAAAACCAAGTGAAGGAGATCCAGATAGTGATAATTTCTTACAAACGGTGACAATTCCCACAAAAACAAGGGTGTCTGTCATAGTCTGGAAAAGCAATCTGTAATATACAATGATCTTGCTTAGTTCTTACAAAGTATTAAATGTCTTTAATAGATTCCAAATGAATCAGAGTTTCTCAGCACAGAAGTGGCAGGAGGGGCAACTGAGTGGAGTCTTACACAACTGCCAGGTTTTGTCTAAAGGAAAAATAATCAAGCAGATTTATAGAGGGGATTTTGGGGGACAGCGTGGCAAGAAGCAAACAAGACTTTGATGAAATTTACAATCTTCTTGTGAAACACAAAACATTGTTTCTTGTCTTGCCTTCTGGTGCGTTGGAAAATAGTTTGACCCCCTCTTCTTTGTGGCAGTACCTCAAATGCTGGAAGACTGCTATCATGTCACCCCCTTCTTTTTTCTAGACTAGCTGTACCCGAATTCTGCAAGTGTTCTTCATATGTTTTAGTCTCCAGGCCTTAGTTGCTCTTCTTTGCACTTTTTCCAAAGTCTCAACATCTTTTTTGTATGATGTGGTGACCAAAATTGGGCTCAATATTCCAGGTGTGGTTTTACTAAGGTTTTATAAAGCTGTACTACCATGTTTCCCTGAAAATAAGACCCTGTCTTATATTTTTTTTGAACCCTGAAATAAACGCTTGGCCTTATTGCCATGCGCTCAAAAGCCCGATTGGGCTTATTATCAGGGGATGTCTTATTTTGGGGGAAACAGGGTAACACGTCACAAGAATTTGAATTGGGTTCCAATCTTGGTAGGTTGGGTTCCAATGAGATGTATAAAATGCGATCTGAATTCTATTGTAATTCTGGGCAATATTATTTAATATAAAATGTCTAATACAAATGCAAGATAACCCCCAGTTTAGCAAGAAGATACTCTTCCCCTTTAAAAAATAATAATTGTGGAAGAGATTTTACCATTTTCATCCAGAGAAAAGTCATCCTGGGCATAGCGGAATTTTTCTGGGCCACAAGCGATAAATACATCATCATCGCCAAAGAAATCATGAAGGCAAGTTACCTATCAAAAAGATAAAGTCATTTGTTTAGTGTGAGTTGGCAGCATTCATTTTATGGCTCAGATTTCTTGGAAACATAAAACTGTTTCTCTCTCTGCCGTCAGTATCTCTATTTCCCTTTACACAAACTATAACACAAAATGTAATGTAGACTTGGCATAAAAAGAATCATCTATCATTTAAAGGGATGGTGGGAGATCGGTTATGTTGAAATAATGCAATGGTATGTTAAGCTTTCTGTTTTACAGGTTCTATTTCATGCCAAATGAATAACTGGGCAATTTCTTCCCATGCCTTCATTTTACAAGTTCCTGATTGTTTATGGGATTACATAATTACCAAAGCTCTCTGGGCAGGTTGCAAGAGTAGAACCTGACATTTTATATCACAAGAAGACATTAAAATGGAACATGTACATCTGATAGAATAAAGCCACTTCATTGAATCTTCTGATATGGGGGATCTCATTCTTGGTCTTATCTCATCCTGCTCTCTACCAGAAGAGAAGATGAGATCGTTGATAGCAGTGGTGAAATCTATCCGGCTTGTGTGAACTGGTAGCGGCGGTGCCGGGAGGCTCCGCCCATCCTGCAGGGACATCATTACATCCGTTTTTTACCCTCTGCGCACGCGCAGAAGGCTCTGTGCATGTTCAGAAGAGGCACGTGCACAGCACGCCCCTGCTCCCATGTGCTCCCATTCCCGAACTGGTAGCAAAGATAAGTCGATTTCATCGCTGGTTGATAGTCTATCCTCAGAGTCAACTTGAGTCTAATGATCTTGACTCCTCATGTCTGAGGGGCCTACACCAGAAACCAAGACTGATGAACCATTTTTTTCAGAAGATAAATCCACTTCACTGAATCTTCTGGTACAGGGATCTCCCCCTTGGTCCATCTCAATCTGCTCTCCATTAAAGGAAAGCATGAGATAGTTATAGTCCAATCCGAAGAGTCAATTTGAATCTGGTGATCTTAAACTCTCCAGGCCTACACCAGAAACCAAGACTGATGGACCAAGTTTCCTTAGAAGATATAGGCGGGTAATGCTTGAGGCTCAATGGAGAAGTAAGTCCTTCTTGAGAGTAATAGGTAGAAAGAATTCAGAAATAATGTAGTCTCAAATCTCTGACCTACCTGAAGTTTAAGCCAACCTATAGTTCTTGAAGGTCTAACTTAAGACCCAGAGTTTTCCTTTAGGCAGAATTAAAATACCACATAACAAAACAATTTCACTGCTTCATGCAAGGGAATAACAAAGATGAGGAGTATAATAAGTAAGAAAACAAAAAATGTTCCTGTAAGCTTCTTGACAAGTACAACCATGACAACTTAATTTTAACTTGTAAACTACCAGTTACAATTACACAGTGACAAGAAAACTACAATCCTGGAAATAAGCATTTCACAGTCATTCCTGTCACCTTCTCTTTAGGGACTTAAAATATTAAGGTGTCTCGAAACTAGAAATACGCAGGAAATAAGACCTTAAAATAGGGAATTCCTTCAGAAAATGTTTCCAGAGATGTGAAACACTCTTTTGACCATAAATTTGCTAGAAATATCACAGAGTTCAACATTTGTTAATTTAATGATTTGTTATTAGTTGGCTGGAGCTCCTGTGCATCCTTTGGATCGCAAAGGTGACAAAGAAGCAAGTATCAGAGTGTATAAAACCAGACTTGTCGCTGGCAGGCAAAAATCACAAAATTCTGCCTTACTTATTTTGTCCATGTCATGCAATCAAACGGAAAAGGCAGTTATGCTCAGAATAGGGCTGGACACCACCTCTGGACACCATCAAAGCCAACAGCAATCAGAGCATAAAAAAATCTGAAACAACGGCACAAGATCAGAATATGTGAGGAGAGCCGGCCCACAGAATCAATGAAAATTGGACACGGTTGAACAGATAGCATCTGTCAGCTGTCCCAATTTGGACTGTCAGCAAAGAAAACTCTTGGACTCATGGTCATAGAAAGTACACTTTACTAGAGCCAAGCAGTTCCACAGTAGCAAAGCTGAATCTGGCATTTCACACCCAAAATGTATAATTAACATTCCCCTTTATGTCTCATTTCCCCCCTCCCTTGGTTACCAGTGAGTATCTAATAGAATTCAAATTAATTATTTTGGTAACAGTCCCCAGCTGCATAGGCTTGAAGGTGTTGCATTCCATTGGATGAACTTTGAGAAGGCTGCAGTTGTTACTGGGTGCCATGATGATTTTCCCTTCTCTTTCCTCTATCCTCCCCACTTCTATCCAGCCCTGCAGGTTCCTTCCCCCATTTCTTAAGACAACCTGGGATCTAGCTAAGCAGGGTTGGTGCGGCAGGATGCAGGTCTGTACAGCACCATCATTAGTTGGTGATCTGTCCCCGTCCACACACACACACAAACACAGCCAGCCGAGGGTTAAGGAAACACTTTGGAACGCACCCAGGTCTTATCTCCGACTTGGCAGCGATAGACACACCGTCTGCCAAGTGCCTTTATTTTCACAGAAAAACAGACAGATAAAATACTCAGCTTCCAAATGTCCGACAACAATAATTATTTCTCTCCTCAGTTCCGAACGAGGCTTTAGTGACTATCCAAGGTTAGTTTTGTTCGTCACAAGGATCACTGACCACCACCCTCTATTATATAGTCTCTGGGGTGTGGTCCAGTGACTCAGTTCTAATCCCTAGCACGGCTCCTAAGCTGCTGCAATCGTTTATCACGCCTTCGGAGGCGTGCGTCCAGGAATGATGTTTCTCCGTCACTCTGATCCGAGCCACCTGTCTCCCTGCTAATCTCCTCTCCCTCGGCCGGCACCTGAGACAATGCCAGAGGGGAGGGGCCTGGAGAGGGAGGCCTGGCTGACTCCTCTTCCTCATGCTCGGAGCTTTCTTCCTCCGATGGGACAGGCTCAGAGGGCGGGGCCACAACAGTTGGCTGGAGTATCACGGGGCAATGAACAACTTCTTAAACAAATCTGAGAGTGAGCTTGCTTAAAAGGAATAACTATAGGTAGTCCTCAACTTACAATAGTTCACTTAGTGACCATTCAAAGTTACAGCAGCATTGAAAAAAGTGATTTATGACCATTTTTCACACTTATGACTGTTGTAGTATCCTGGGGGTCATGTGATCACCTTTTCCAAACTTCTTACAAGCGAAGTGAATGGGGAAACCAGGTTCACTTAACAACCAGGTTACTAATTTAACAACTGCAGTGATTCACTTAACAAATTTGGCAAGTAAAGTTATAAAATGGGGCAAAACTCACTTAACAAATTTCTCACTTAGCAACATAAATTTTGGACTCAATTGTGGTCATATGTTGAGGACTACCTGTAATTTGTATTAAATGAAAGAGACATGCTTGCAAATACAGGTAGTCCTTGATTTACAACCATTTCATTAGTGTCTGTCACTGAAACAAGTGACCTATGATCATTTTTGACATCTGTCGCAGCATCCTCATGGTCATGTGATCAAAATTCGGATGTTTGGCGACTGGTTCATATTTATGACGGTTGCAATGTCCCAGGTCATGTGATCCCCTTTTGCAACCTTCTGACAAACAAAAGGGGAAGCCAAATTCACTTAACAACTATGTTACTAACTTAATAATTGCAGTGATTCGCTTAACAACTGTGGCAAGAAAGGTCGTAAAACAGAGCAAAACTCATTTAACAAATCTCTTGCTTAGCAACAGAAATGTTGGGCTCAATTGTGGTTGTAAGTAATTTTTAGCTCTTAAAGCAAGATTGAAAAGGCCTTTGCAATCATTTCTAATGATCTAGATTTCAAGGTGTCTGTTTGCTACCTCAATTTATAAAATATGCAGTCATTTTCCCCAACGCTGGTTGAATTTGTTTTGTCATTGAGCTTATGTATGACTTTTTATTTGAACAAAAACTCAGATATTACAATGCAGCAAACTGATCTGGAGATTCAACTGAAATACCCTCAGATGGAAATTTTGTGTGGCTCTAAAGAACATAATTTAAGTGGCCATCTTGTTCCATGTTCTTCAAGCTTTGGCTCCAAGATGCCACTGTACAAAAGGGTTTTGAAGCAAGACTTGTGCAAATTGAGTTCTCTCATAAGGTAAACCTTTACAATGTTCCCTGTCAATTCTTCCCAAGTGATTCTAATTGTAATTCTATAGTCCTTGAATACACTAAAGACCTGGAGTTTGCCTCTAACCCTGCTTCTATCTACAACTTCAGGAGTGCTTATAGATTAACAGAGTTGGAAGGGACCTGGTAGGTCATCTAGTCCAACCCCCTGCCCTGCCCAAGCAGGAGACCGGCCTACACCATTTCTGACAAATGGCAGTCCAGTCTCTTCTTGAAAGCCTCTGGTGATGAAGCTCCCACAACTTCAGGAGTTCAAGATGACTTTTTTTCTCCCCGAATGAAGGGTTTCTTCCATTGAGGATTTAACACCACCACCCACAAGAATCGTTCTTCGGGTCTAGGTCTATCAGTCAGTCAGCTGGTTTCTACCTGCATCTGTGTTTTCATCCATCCTGCTTTTACAATCCTATCTAAATCCTTCAATTGATCATCTTGTTTCAACATCCATTCACCCAACCATCCTGCTTCTACAGTCTTGCTTCTATCTAGATCTATCAGTTGATCATCCACTGTGTTTCTATGTACACCTGCCTATTCTTCCATCCTTCCTGCTTCTACAGTCCTGCTTCTATCTAGAGCTATCAATTGATCATCCAGTCTTTATCTACATATGTTTATCCATCTGTCCATCTGTCCATCCATCCTGCTTCTACAGCCTCCCTCTTTCTCTCTCCCCTGCCCCCCATTTTATTCTGCTTCTACAGACTTTGCTTCTCTAAGAACCTGTAGCCAACAAGAAAAGAAATTCACAGTTCCCTTTCCCAGAACAAGAGCACCAACCAATCTCAAAGGCTGGAAGGTTGGGAGGCTGGAAGAGCATATTAAAAGGAGGCCATGGGAAACCACTTCTGAATTTTTACCAAGGAAACATGG